ATGATTTTGTGTTCTACCTGGGATAAAGTCAAGTGAGAACAATAGTTATTAACCGGTGTATCGTCAAAATATAAGATACCCGTGGGAGGGAAGGGAAGGGGGAGAATGACGAATAACAAAACAGGCAAATAAATAAATAAATCAGGTGATACGAACGTTAATAATAAATAATAAAACACACGGACGGACTGCAGGCAGTGCACAGCCTACAGCCAAATGAAGCCTGCGCGCGCGCAATGCGATACTCGTGCCAGTCGCGTAATGTGCTCCGTTCGCGGCGTTCGCGCGATTATGCGCTCGTCGTCCCCTTGTCCACGCTGACTCGACGACGATGATAGAGGCCGAGAAAATGTTACAGCTGAGAAAATATCTGACGCTCGTCGTCCACTCGCAGCTGCGCTCGCCGCGTTGCGGGACGGCGAGGAGTCGTCCGCCCCGACGCGGAGGTTATGTCCTCGGCTACGTGCACCCTCGGCACGCGAGCCTGCGACCCGGGATTCCCGTCGTGACGTGCAACAGGACGTACTGCACGACGATACCGCAATCGTCGCGATCCGACGACGTCGATCACAAACTAATGTCGTTTTGCGACGACGTTAAAAAGGGCCGGGTCTCGGCGGACCATCTGAGGGAGGTTATCGACCTGTGCAGTAAGAGCGATTACCAGTTGCCCGACGGCACCGGCGTTCTGCTGCTCAAATGTTGCGGCAACCTGCTACCTGGTCTCGAGACAGCCGAGAGAGATTATCTTGCGGATCAGGTACTACATCATTTGTTTTACCTCGAATATTGTGTACAGTTGTGCACAATATTGTATAGACAATACTGATAAAAGTACAAATCATTAGAGCAGTATTTTACCTGCGGTCTAGATAGCCAGCTGACGTTATTTGTCTCATTTTTATGTCAAAATGATGGCAAATAACATCCGCTGGCTGTCTTGGAGGGAGATATTCGCCGATCGTGAGAGTTAATTTGTTGCGCAGGTGTGGCATTTGGCAAAGAAGAGCGGCGAAGGATTGACATTGGAATATTACAACGCTCTGCTGGGCATTAACGAGGAGAACTCCAAGTTTGTGAATCCTAAGAAGTTCCTGGCGAACATGAGCGTGGCGCCGGACGAGAATACGTATCGTTTGCTATTGAACTCGGCCAGGAAGGCGAGCGACGCTGAGTACTTGTGGGAATTCTTGTCCGTGATAAAGGACAAGAACATGGCCATCCATGAGGAAGCGATCAATGGATTGGTAGAAATGTATGTGATGAATGGTAATATTGCGGAGGCCGAGCGAACGATAACGTTGTTGCAGGAGGCCAAACTGTGCACAGCCAAGGCGTATGCCGAGCTGGCGTGCGGATACGCGAAACTCGGTGATATTCCGAATTTAGTCAAGATATTGAACGACGAGCCACAGAGCAATGCGAATCTCTTGAAGATAATAAAAGCTCTGAGTATGTCCAACAATGGCAGACACATCCCAGTTGTTTTGAATCTTTTGGTGTCCTCAGTACCGGCACTCGAGTCCGAGATCTCCAAGATGATCGCGGAACTGGTACGTGCTAATCAAATCGAGAACGTACAGATTATTATAAATTGTTTCGCGATGAACAACGTGGCGAGCAACATCGTGCAGGGTTTTGTAAATAGCTTTATGAACGAATTATTGATGTTAAACGCGCCGGTTAACGATGTCGTCAAGTATGCGAACCACTTTGTCGATTCCGGTTGCAGCCAACGCACATTGACTGACATGGCTGAAGTCTGCTTGAAGCTGGGTAGAGAGAAATTATGCCTCGCGCTATTCCAGGCGATGAGAAAGAGGAATATGGAGGTACGACCGCATTACTATTGGCCTTTACTGTTGAAAGCGTATCATAACAAGGGTGAAGCTAAGATGTTTTCGTTAGTAAAATCTATGATAGACAAAGGCGTAGAAATGGATTCCGAGACGCTGCTTCATTACGTATTTCCGTACGTAAATACTGCCGACCCGATTGTCACCTTACAGAAATTGCTGCTGAATAACGTACCGGGTGCTATCTCCTATACACCTCTGTTATTGTTTCTGCTACAACAAAATCGGCTACAGGATATAAAGTCGCTATGCACGAACCGTATGCACTGCAAAGTGTATTATAGAGAACTGATCAAACCACTGGTACGCGCTTACCTCGCTACTAAAGATTACGAAACTTGTGTTACGTTATTGACAGCATTTCCACAAGGGCAGGATTTCGTCAGTTTGTTCTTGGAATCGTTATTTAAAGCCGAGAAACCAGTTTATATAGAAGACCTACTGTTTCTTCTGAATGAAGTTAAAAGATGTGAAATAAAGATACCACAAGAGGATGCGATAATTCTCAAGAACACGTTAAAATGCAACAAAAACTTTAACGTTATGACGAAGGTGGAGGACTTAATAGACGAGCTGGTTGATCCGAAAGTGAAAGAATCAGCATTTCTGTTTCTCCCGAAATACATGAACACCAAGGAATTAGCGTATTTTTTAGTGGAGCTGAAGAGCATCAAAGCGAACACTAGAAACGTTCTACAAAAATTGCTGATACTGTATTGCTTCGAGAATAATCTGAAGAGAGTCGAAGAAATAAAACGAGAACATGATGAATGTAAATACACGTGGTCGTCCAGCATGAAGTCGACTTTGTTCGAATTTTATCTCAAGCATAACAAGCTGAAGGAGGCCGAGGCATTGGTGCCCGAGTCGCAGATAATGTCCGGTGACATCCAGCTAGATAAAATAAAAATCGTGATGTATGCCACTGCATTAGTAAAGGCCGGTAAGCCTAGAAAGGCCTTTGACGTTATTGATACGGTCAACGTCTTTGATACCAACGTTAATTTGACTGCGCAGACACAGTGTTGTACACTTTTGCAAACGTTAGCACAGAGTCAGTATCATGAGCACACGAAAAGCATGTTACACCTGCTTCTACAGAAAAATTACTGTAAAAAAAGCATGGACCTGTTGAGGCCGTTGGTGGTGATACCGTTAGAACGTAATGACATACTGGGCGCCGTAGATGTAATCGCAGAATGCGGGCAACGTTATAATGAGGCGCCGTTGATATTAGAAGTATTGACAATATTATTGGAACAAATGTACAGTTCAAAATTGCCCAACGCGAATATCTACGTAGAACAAGTGTTAAATATAGCAGCTACTGTCTATTCTGACAGCTTGGCGAATACGTTTCTGGCGTTGGCATTAACGAGGTTGAAGAAGACGGAGAAACTGCAAGCTTTATTATTACAGGTAACCGAGACGTTTCTAATCGTAGCATTTAATTTATATTTCCTTGGTGTATAATTTATTTTCAAGACTGCTGAAATGTTTTAAAATTTTATACAAATTTCGCAAAACTTTAATATAAAAAGGAAACGGTGAGAGGAAGACATTTACACATGTCTTCCTCTCACCGTTTCCTTTTTATATTAAAGTTTTAAAGAATATTAATAGTATATTTCTAAAATAGTTTTAGAGGAGTTTAAGAAAAGATTTTCTGAAATTTCTGAATACTCGAGTAACTTCGTTTGTTATACTTTTGATTTACATTCTTTTCACCAAATCTTTCTGTTACAGAACTACGAACTCTCCAAGAAGTGTCTTCTATATTATATTAAGAATGCAAAAACTGACAGAGATTTAGATGATTTGCAAAACCTCTTTAGAGCTTATACGAATTATTCACATCAAATTTCGATGTCTGACGAGCTCCTTTCCGTTTATAGTAAGCTATGTTCTTTTGCACTCCGATGTGTATGTAAACAGTCCTATAAAGTTAACGCTAATGATATTTGTATTTGCAGCTGTATTAGGAGACTGCAACCGTGCTTTAGAACTGTGGAAAGTTATGTGCACAAAAAATATCACACCAAGCGAGAAGTTCAAGAAGAATTTTACTCAATTTTTATTGTCACATAAAGTTTCACTTCCCCCAGAATTGGAAAATGAAAGTAAAAGAAACGTTAATTAATAACTTTAAATATTAAGAACAACATGTACGGGATAATGATATTCCGTAGATAAGTAGACAGATAATAGAAATTTTTTAAAGAAATTTGGTAAAAATAATGTGTACAATAAAAATAATTTTAAAATGTTAAAAATATAAAACAATATTTCCGACTGTGCCATCTTATCCTTTTTTGTTATTTCAGATTTGCTTTATTATTATTTTCAAATAAATACTATTAGGTGATAAATACTATTATAAAAGAAGTAAACAATCTAATAAGTAGATTTCAGATTCTCTTGGAGTAGTGCACTGTAATCGTTAATTAGTTTGAAAGCTTTCTCTTTCAACGGCTCGTAATTAACGCGTTCCTTTTCTTTACTTATAAATTCCTCGACCTTTGAATTATCTTCTTTCAATTTTTCCACTTTATCCTCTAGGCTGCTGATTTCCGGATAGATCGTATATTTCTTCAATCGCTCTTTGAGCTCGTTGTATTCCATTCGTAGTGATTTGAGCTCGTCCTCGCAAACCGACTCTTCAGACACTAATCCATCTCGCTCGGCGATCAACTCGTCCCGCTGGAATTCATTTCGCGTTTTCAAGCCATCCAAATCTTCCAGGACGATCAACTCGCTCTGTTGCTTCTTCAGCTTCTCCTTCATCTGCTTGGACTCCAACTGCAGCTTCTCCTCCAGGATTCTCAGTCTGTTGAACGTCTGTTGCATAGTTGCATAATCTTTCTTCAGATCTTCGAAGCCGTCGTCGTGATGCGTGCTCTCGTAATCGTTGTATGGAAATTTGTCGCGTAAAATTGCCGTTTCTTCGGCTTCCGTGAAGTACTCATTGTTCTCCACTGCGTTCGTCACAGCTTGCAACTTGTCAACGATCTCCCGCTCGAGTTTCTCCAGCTTCTCCATTTCCTCCTGTTTGTTCTGTTCGTATGTGGACATGAACTCCTCCATCATTTCCTCGCGCTTACGCAGTTCCTGATACTTGACTTGTTTCTCCGACTGATTGTCCTCCATGTCAGTCTCCAGCTGTTCCAGCTGTTGCTCGAGCTCCGCCACCTTCCTCTCTTTCTCGGCTATCTGCGCTTCTGTCGCGGCAATATCGGTGTTGTCGCGTTTGATTTTCTGCAGAAGCTGCTCCTTTTCATCTTCGGGCGACAATCTTCTGCGTTCTTCCTCCCGCAACTTGTCCCGCTTCTCCTCCGCCTCGATGGTTCTCACTTGCAGCTTCACTGCTTCCTGCTTCAATTGAGAGAGAGCGATCTGCTCTTCCAAGTGCACTTGCTCCCTCGACAGTTGGTCCAACTCGTGTTGCATCTGCTGTGCTTGCTCCTGCAATTCCGTCTTCTGTCTGAACAGATCGTCGTATTTCTCCTTCGTGTGCGGATCCATACTCTCAATGATATGCTCAGTCCTTTTTCTTTCATTCTCAATGTCCTTTTCCATCTTATGTAATCTTTGCTCCATTTGCTTCCGTTGCTCGAACATCCGCTCGACTTCCGTCGTCCTATGTTCGTTCATCAGCGCCAACTCCTTGGCTTCCTGCTCGATCACTTCTTTGTCGACGTCCAGGGTCATTTTGTCCACGACAAGGTTGTAGTCCGCGAGCTCGGTCTGTAGAGTCGTCAATTCCGCGGCCAAGCTCTTGGCTCTCTTGTCGTAGTGTAGAAAAGTGGCCTTCTCTTTGTTCTGCGTCTCAATGTCCTTCATTATCGTTCCGATTTCTTGCGTCAATTCTCTTATCTTTAGCTGCAGTAGGCCCTCGTAGTACCTCTTATCTTGAATCTGTCTGGAGATTCAACAAAATTGATAAACAGGTATGAATGCGCTAATAGTAAGATTTAGGTGGCACCGGTTACCTCGTCATTGGTAGACCCCTGGTGGTGCCCGGTCGCACGCCCGCTATCCCGTGCTGAGTGATCGGCCTGTCCAGCACGTTGACATTGAACTGCTTGGCCAGACCCGTATTCGAACGACCTATTCCGGAGCCTATCCTGAGGCCTGGGCCTGCAGTCGGCGCGCGATTAGACAGAAGGGACGCCGAGGGCGGTCTTGCGAGAGCAAGACGTCCGGGTGTCGCCGAGCGATAGGTAGCTGAACTGACGTACTCCGACGACTCGTCCTTGTGCCCGCGTCGCGATCTTGGTCGCTCGTACTTGCTTTGAGCTCTCACCATGCCCGTCGGCGGTCTGTCGATCTTAGTTCCGGAGGTACTCGGTACGTCTTCCTGGTTCCGTCGCCACCGAGTAATCGGCCGTTCTCCAATCTTACCGGAATCGTTCCTCTCAGACTCCATCTTTCGGAAATTGGACTCTTGGGTCGGAACGTCTGCTGTTAGCCGCGAGTTAGTTGTAAGTTAGACGTGAGTGGGGAGACGTTGCCCAATCGAGGAAATTCAGTGACTGATAGTGTATCGCTTAGGCAACTATTTGATGGCAGCAATGGTAATAAGGTACCGCGATGGAGGGAATAGCAATGTTTTGGCTCCTCGTAGTCATAGAAACTGTACGTGTGATTCGTTGGATCTATCTACCGCCATGATCGCGCGAACTATTTCTCACTGAGGAAGAAGTTGAACTCTTTTTTACGATCAAATTTTATTTAAATTATTTATTTTATAAATACTATCAGTTGAAAGAGAGAAAAACTATACAAGATTTATATACCAGTGAAAAAGAATTAAGATTCAAGACAAATAATATATATTTTATAAATTTAATGAATTTATTAATTTATAAATGGATATTAATTTAATAAATTTATATATAATAAATATGTAATATAAATTCATAGGGTAATTATAAATTTAAAAACTGAGAGAAATACAAATTTTATCCCAGAAGAAAAAATTGTAACGATAGCGTTCGATAGCATTATACACTACATATTATTTTGCAAGTTATTGATAAAACAAATATATCGCATTCGCGTTACGATTATTTTCGGACGGTAACATGCTAGTACGTCATTTGAAGACATTGCACCTTTCACATTTTTTAGTGTATGTGTGTCTACTTGAATTTTTACGAAGAAAAACGAACGGAACATCATTAATTGTCGTGGTTTTCGGAAAGGTAGAAAAATCTAATTCTCAATTCTTGTCATTTCTGATCGTTTAGATTATTTTTTATTATTACGACGTTGCATGTGCCTAGTTGCCACGACAGTTTTGGCGCATCGGTTTTATTGTTAGACTGTAAAATGTTAGAATATAAAGTGCGGAATACGTTCCGCGATCAATCTCGACTTTTATTCGTTAAAAGTGCATAACGAGCGCGAGTTCTTGTGACGAGCGTCTGCCGTGCGCTAAAACTCGCGTGTTTCTCCTTGGTTACATGTCGATAACTTAATTCGCCCGCGAGTACGATTTTAATGAAAAACGATCTAGACACGCGTAGAAATTCGCGCCGGTTTCTTCAAGTGAACTCCGCGCGATCGTAGCGTCGCCAGTTCCGTCAAGTGAATTTCCCGTCGATCGTAAGGGCTGACCGTGGGTCGCGACCTTCGCCGACGGATGGCGCCAGCGGTGCCCGGCCGAGCGCGGCAATTATTCAGCGGTTGCCAGGCAACCAGCGGTGTGAGACGCGAGGATTCGTTTCGTGTCTCGTCTCGTCCCGTGCGAAGCGCGACGATGCGTACAGGCGGCACTGGCGTGGTGGCGGTGGCGGCAGCGGCGGCGGAGGGTTCCCGAAGTTGAATTTAATATACGTTCGCCGTCCAAGAATATCCACGCCGCGACCGCCTCGAGGACAGCCGAGCAGAGCCGGCGCGGCGGACGAGGCGGGCACTACGCGGCGAGTAGCCGTCCGAGCAGCGTGCTCGCGTAACTTGGTCGTGATCTCAACCTCAGTTCGGTCAGTTGGATCGAGCGTGACGTCTCGATCGGACGTCTCGGCCGGCCACAAGGCGGCTCGCCAGTTCGCCACCCGATCTGCTCCGCGAGTTTAGCCGCGGGCGAGTGGACGCCTGGTAAACACGAGTGGAGCGTTCGATTCGGATCCGAGCGGCGCGAACAAAAACGCCGCGCGTCGGCGGCGGCGCTCTTTGCTTTACCCGCCTCTGCTACTTGACGACCGGGCCGACAGATCGGCCCATCCGTCCGCTCGCCCGCTCGCTCGCTCGCCGTAAACCGGTTCCGACACAGGCGCACAGGCACGGCGGAGGCACGGCCCACGGGCCTCCTCGTGCTCTCGAGAGAATGCTCTGAAGCGAGGGTCTCGTGCGCGCGCGTACCGCGCGGCTACCTTCGCTTAGCTCCCGTTTGTCGTTCGCGCGCGGCGATAGAACGCGCAACCGGCGGCGTGCGCGCGTTCCGTGTCGCGTCCAGTCGCGCGAGTGCGTGTGCGTGCGTGTGCGTGCGGTGCCGGCGTGCGAGCGCATCTGCCGCCGTGAGAAAGAGAGAGCCCGAGGAAATCAAGGTCTGCACTTCGCCGTCGCCGGCGCGGGATCATGGACGAGGAAGAGATCGACGGCGTCAAGTCGCCCATCAAGCGGCTCGGCTCCACGCGGAAGCTGCTCGTCTTCAACAGTGAGTTTCTCTCGACTACTTTTATTCAACAGACTACGCTCTACCCGTTACGCGACTCGTTACTCGCGTGCGCGAGATGCGGATTTCGATAGTTGCGCTTCTGTCGGGCGCCCTCCTAAAATAAACATTTTCCGATAATCGATCATTACCGCGTCAAAGCGATAACGACGCTTTCCCGAGAGAGACTTTGGCGCCGCGGCTTTTCTCAGGTATCGACCAATTTTCCGAGTCGCGATAAATCCGACGTAAAAATAGCGAGCGATTGTTCCACGAGCTTGAACGTTGTGGAAACTGAAGCTTTGCACTTCGAAAGAGTCGCAAGGGGGAAAAAAAGAACGTCAGCGTGCAAAATCGCGAGTTCAGCGCGCAATTTCGTTTCGCAATGCAAAGACCTCTTGTCGCCAGTAAACAATTAATCAATGTGGGAAATTAATAATCGACACAACTGACAAGTTCGAATTAAAGAAATTTATTGCGATAAATATTACCGCAGCCAGGGTTGAAACTAGGCGGGCGCCTCACCAATTCGACCACTGAGGCATGTGAATTCTTTAACATCGAGCTGACTGTAATTTTCTTTAAGCATACACGATTGTAATCGACAAGGGAGATATTTTTGGGAAAATCCCAAATAAGACCCTCCAAGTAATCGTTTATGTTAGATCCGACGATTAGACGGAATTGAGGATGAGATACTTTATCTTCGCTCGTTGCGAGAAATAATCTGGCCCGTGAAAAAGTGTCAATGTAATATCGACATTTCACACGCGGTGGCCGTGTGTAACTTGAGTGTTTTTTAATTCCGTATTTTGTGGTCCAAGGTCCCTTACAAATCTCTTAATAATTAGGTTTTTTCATGATAAAAATGACCGTCCGGTGAATCTTGGCGCCGGGATACGCTTCGAAAGTGAAATAATCTGCGTATCAGTACCGTAATATTGCATACTTATAATAGATCCAATGGTTAGATGAAATTGAGGATGAGATACTTGACCTTCGCTCATTGAGAGAAATAATCTGGACCGTAAAGACCAACGTAACACCGACATTCAAACGCGACGACCTAGTAACTTGAATGTTCTTCAATTTCATATTGTGATGTTCCAGGTCGCTTTAAAAAAAGAACTCGTAATAATTACTCTAGGGGAAAAAAAAGACAGTTATAACCCATTTTGGGTCCCATCGTTAGTAATCGAATTATTTGGATTGTTCGTGACTCTGCTCTGGGAAAAATTTTGACCGTTTTTTGACGTAGTTAAGCAACTTAACATTTCGGTTTGTGCCACTTAAGTGAAAATGATCTTTGCGTTACTGAATATCGACAGAACTAATTGAGAGAATTGATTAGTATTACTTAAAAAATCTTGGATATAGGTAGAACAGCTAATTGTGATTTTTAGTTACGCGGGATAAAATTCTCAAAAGATCAGAGTTACGAACAATCTAAATAATTCGATTACTAATTGTGGGCCCCAAGATGGGTCGTAACTGACTCTTTTTTCCCAGAGTAGATTCTTCGCGATAAAAAGAACCGAGCGTCCCGCAAACCTTGGCGCCGGGATATTCTTTGAAAGTGAAACAAACTGTGTATTAGGGTGTACTCTAATTTTAATAGGTGAAATCACTATTTGTTTCACAAAGAGAGCAATCTCGAAGAAAAATAAAGCGTTAGCATATCTCCGCGCTCTCGTCGTAAGCGATACGCGGATTCTCATCGCGACGTTTGTTTTTTTCTTCCCCCCCCCCCCTCGTGTGATCCCGCGTAATAACTCGCGTCGTTTAGATAACGGTCTCAAGGGCGAGGTATCGAGCATTCGCGGGTGATAACGAATTTCCAATTAGCCACCTCGACCGCAAGGTAGAACGAATTCGCGAGCTAGTGTACTTCGGCGCGTCACATCGTCGCGTCGCGCTGTAATCCACTTCGCGAAGATTAACGGGCGCGATCCGGACGTGCGAACAGGTGCGATTTGTTTGCACCGATGAGACGTAATACACGAAACGGCAGGTTACCAATTTCGCCGCACGTAACAGCAAGAGGAGAGCGCGACGCGGGGACCTCGCGTTTACGGGCAGCGCGATGCCGGTTTGCGCAAAACTCGCGCGTAAATATGTCATTACGTCAAATCTGTCCGAAAAGTTGCAGACGGACGTCGGACGAAATTACCTCGTGTTCCTCGACCCACGCGTTTCGCCGAGAGCGAGCCCAGCGTCGTGCGAAGGAAAGCGAGAAACGCGCGAACTTTCAACCTTTTAATCGTCGTTACGTAATTTATCGGTGCTTTGTATGCCCGTTTCCATTACATTACGTTGCGCGTTCTTATTGAGAAACAAGAATTAGTTTTGACGGTGGCAACGCGGCCGGCAACTTTTTCAATGGAAAAAAAAAACGGACGATGTGCTTCGTGTTTTCCGATTACGCGTGAAGCTGTGCGATTGGAATATATCTGTGTCAACGTTTAGAAAGTACGTGAAATCTCTGTTACCTTTTAAATACGCGGCACGAGATACATCGAGATCGTAAGCGAGGGACGTCCCAATACTTAAAACTTCGGTATGCTATATTTTTGGCAGAATCTCTGTAAATTCGTCCAATAAAAACTGTTATGTTAAATTGGATGAAATTAAAGATGAGATACTTGATCTTCGCTTATTGCGAGAAATAATCTGGACAGTAAAGCACCTCTGTGAAGTTGACACCCTATTTTGCAAAAGGTTATTTTTTGCAGTTCTAAATATACCCCGAAGAGTTAGAGAGTTCCTTATTAATATAAATAGTTCTGGCTTTTAGCGAAGCTAAAACAACCATGGATAAAAGTTGAATGTACTAATTTCACAAAAATGAAATCACGAAATCGGCGATAACATTAAAAGTATTGAAAATATTTAATTTTGCCGTTAGAATTTCCTTCAGAACTCTTGAAGTACTGCCCAGACCTCTGGGCCGACTTATCATGAAAAAAGCGGCCATCTTATCCAAACTGTTTCCGTACGGTTGTAATACTCGAGTTTATCCTATAAGGTCTGACTCTGAATACTGCTTTAAGAATCAATGTAAGGAGTCAATGTAATATCGACATTTCATACGCGGTGATTTAGTGATTTTCGAATTCGTTGTTTAATTCCATATTTTCAGCGTCCAGGGTCGCTTTAGAAGATGATCTTAAC